TTCTTCCTCCCCATTTATTCCCTTTTTCCTTTACTTTCTTTCTTCCTTCCTCCCCTCTACCTTCCTGAAAAATTATGTAGCATTTACTGTTCAGAAGGTGCAGTATTAGGAGCAGGGGCAGGATTGAGAAGAATCAGACATGGATCTTTCTCTGAGGGGTCTAACATTCCTGAAGAAGAGAGAAAACATGTGCATAGATGCTCCCCACTGTCCTGTTCTCAGAACCTAGCTTCCTTCACACAGTCAATTCTTTCTGTCTAAAATGCCCTTTCTTTCTTATTTTCTGGAGATTTTCCATCTACCCTCAGAGCCTCCATTTAAGGTCACCTCCTTTGTCAAGCCTTCCCTGATGCCCTTCCTCCATTCCTGCCCCAAGCCTATGTGACATAGTGGGCACAATTTTAATATAAAGCCTGTTGTATTATATTGTGATTGCTAGTTTCTTTGCCTACCTGTTTTATGAGATTGGGAACTCCTTGAAGAAGGAACTATGCTTTATTCATCTGTGTAGCCATAGAACATAGCAGAAGACCTGCAACATAATAGGCACTCAGTAAATACACATGCCATGAGTAACTGGATGAATGGATACATGTGAAAGAAGCACAAGGCATCCTGTGTAGAAGGACAAATAGAGTGCAATGAGATCTAGGGATGGGAATTACTACTCAGGGAAATGCGGTATCAGGGCAGGTTCCTTGGATAGGCAACATGTGAGAGCTATGCCTTGCATCACAGGTACACTATAGTTCTGTGAGCTGATGAAGTGCGGGCCAGGGAATCTGCAGAGAAAACCATGTGAGCAATAGCATAGAGGTGGGAAAGTACAAAGTTCAGAGGGAGAGTAATGAGCTCCTTAGATTATCTACAGCAGAGGTTACCTGAAGTTCATGCATAGGAAGGTTAGACTGGATTGAGGACATTGATACCTGGATTGTCCTTGGAATTCTTTACTGATGACTTCTATCTACAATGCAAAGAAGAATTCAGAATGGGAGCGGGAAATGAAGCTGTGGCAGAGAGCTAGGGTGTTCCTGAAGGCTCCACTTTTAAGAATAAATACCTGCTTTGATTTTGGCAGTAGTTTAATATCTAGACTAAGTTTTCCCAAGACAATAACTCTTTTCAAAAGGTAATGTGGAAGAGAGACAACCAGTATCTGCCTTTCCTTCACCCTCTGCCTCCCACTCTGGCCCTTATTCTCTGGTTATTCTCTCAGCCACCTCCAGAACTACCTTCAAGGCCCCAGGAACTGACCACAGAAGCACTCCAGAGATGGAGCAGTTCCTATGCCCTAGGACCGAGGGCTGCGCCTCACCTTTCTGCCTCTGGCTGCTCAACAGGTGCCAGAGACAGCCAATTCCTGAGAGTAAACGTCAGGGCCATGCTGTCTTGACCTTTTTCTTTGAGAGTCGGGTGGCTGGCCTTTACCCCAAGCCTTATGATCTATGACCCTCCCTGATCTCAGATACCTACCTGAATCCAGAACATTCTCAGTTCTCTCCCCTTACCCAATTCTCTCCTTCTCTTGCCTGCCTTGTCCCGGCTTGTTAAGGGATCATCTTTTTGTTGTTGGTTGAGGGAGCCAAAAGCCTAAAGAAAGGAGACTTTGATTCTATTTAATCTGGCTATCTTTTTGCAATGCTTTGTCATCCTAAGTAGGAAAAACAGCTAGATTTAGTATTGGTCCTGGCACTTCAATCTCTGACCTTCAGTCCTTTCACGAATAAACTCAGGGTTGATGTTTAAGGTTCCAACTGTCTTTGATTGTGCTGATAAAGTCTACTTGAAGACATGGGGCACTTTTGAGGCACAGTGTACAAAGAATTTGCATGACGATCTGAGTTTCTAAAGTAAATGTGATAATGCAATTGTGGGATTAGCAGAATTCTAATGTATTTGTATTTCTAAGTATCTATATTATGTCTGTACGGTTGAGGTTGGAGAAGGCAAGACATATCCCCTCACTGAGTGTTAGTTTCTAAATGAATGAGACAAGTTCAGAGCAATCCTTTTTAACATGTCATAAAATTAACTATAAGAAAGAATAATGCTACAAATATCTTTAAGCACTTCATGCTCGCACACACAGCTACACTCTGCAAAGCAGTATTAGGTATCATCAGGCATTAAAAATGTTTTGATTTTAATACACTTAATGAGGATTCCCAGATAAATTAAAACATCTCCATCTGCTGTCTTTTCTGGTAGGTGATATTTTACCATTGCACAATCTTCTCCAAATCTAATTCTACCAGGAAGACTTCTAATCGCAGCTTAATTTTAGAGCAATATTCTACTTGGCAATCAATAAGGCACTGTCGTCAAACTTTGATTTAGTAGGAAACGTGGATAACATTCCCCACATTCTGCAGAGAGAGAGATACTTTCAGGAAAGGAAGAAAAAAACGTCTTTGTCTCCCACTTTCCCCTGCTGCCTACATTCTTACGCACAAAAGCCTACAAATCAACGCCCCCATGTTGTGCAAATGTAAATCTCATCAATTTTACATCATTAAGACCATGAAAAAGCTTCCACTCTTTGAGCAATTTTCCTCTGCTAGCTAAATATGTCCCCTTAATAAAACAAAAATTAATGGATCCTAATTACTTTGCTTGCAAATATGTCCTTCTTCGCCAACTTATTTGTGTTAAAAACCAATAGACTTATACATTCACTTTATTGCCACTGGAGTGACTAGGGTAACTGGGCAGTCATACTATCATTAAAGCATGATGTCCAGTGGGCAGTGGGCAGCCCGGGCAAGCATGAAGCCAAAGAGAGAGTTCTAAGAGTAGTTAGAGAGGTTAGTGAATGGTCAGACCCTGGAAGTTTAAGGCAAGGCAGAAAATTCTACTGCAGCCAATGATTATAAGGTCAAATGCCTGGAAAGATTGCAGCCGGCCAAGAGATGGACATTTTGGAAGATCAGTGGTCTAGAACTAAGGCAGTGACCAGCATGAAAGCCAGAGGCCCACTGTGCCGGGAGGCTGGTTTTGTAGTAGGAGGTCCTAATGGCTTAAAGGGATTTGGGAAGAAGGAATAAGAGCTTAGAGAACATCTACTCCAGTGGTTCCCAGTGTTTTCATAACTAACTTCCGTGTTACATTTCTTTCTCCCTCCATGAACTCAGTAATGGGGAAGATTCTGTCTACCAAAAAAGCTGCATTTGTAATTGTCCATTTTCCTATTTGGACTATTTAAACCATAACTAATTGCCAATAAGAGAATATACTCCAATATGAGCTAAGGAATATTAACAACACTAGCTGATATAATTCAAAATAAATGGCCAGTAATTTTAGCACTTTGGGAGGTCAAGATAGGTGCATCGCTTGAGCCCAGGAGTCTGAGACCAGCCTGGGTAACATGGCAAAACCCCGTCTCTACAAAAACATTTGCCAGGTGTGGTGGCATATGCCTATAGTCACAGCTACCCAGGAGGCTGAGGCCAGAGGATCACTTGAGCTTGGGAGGTAAAGGTTACAGTGAGCACAGAGTGCATCATTGCACTCCAGCTTCGGTGACAGAGTGAGACCCTGTCTCAAAAAAAAAAAAAAAAAGTTTCAAACAAACTTGGCATTTTTATTTGCATGCACATAGAAATGTGTAGACTTATTAGGAATAATTACAGTTTTCTGTTTAGTTTTTTGAGATTTTAAAAATTGCATGGGGCCTCTTTTTATTACCTTTAATGAACCCTATAGATCCAGGACTTTGAGTTATGAGCCGTTGATCTGGTTTACACCTCCCATTTACTGGAGGGTTAAACTTGAGGTACAGAGGGGTACAGTGGGTGACTCGTGTTTACACAGAAGCTAAAATTCAAGCCTCATGATGCCCCGTATAAGGACTTTAAACATACCATAAGCACCCAGGTGTATATATAAGCCTTTACAAGGTACTGTTGAATGAGGATTGTTTTAAGTAGGTTTAATATAGGAAAATAACCATAAAGATCACCATTACCCAATAGGATGGTGAGCATTATTTGTTGAAGCTCAGATAATGAAGGTCAATTATAAAAGATTTTCAAATTACTAATTATCAATTTCAGTTTACTTTAGTTCAACAACTATGGGCCAGGCATAGTGTAAGGTGCTAGGATGGCAGGGATAAGGAAGACAGAACTGGGTGAGAAAGACAGACAAGGAATTATGCAAATATATCAGAGAAGGAAGACCTGTGAGGGTAAGGAAATCCAGGGACAAACATTGGAGGAATTTATCAGTTCAGTGTTACTGGAAAGTAAAGTTCTACAGAAGCACAAAAGAGGGTGGAATTATTTCTGTCAGGAGAGAGAAGGCAAGCCTCATTCAGAGGAAATTTGACACAGGTGGTTCTATTTCACGTGTCCATTGAAAGAGAAATAGGATTTGGGCAAGTGAATAAAATGAGTTGATACTGCAGACAAAGGGACCTACCAATGAAAAGCCTGAGAGATATGCATAGCCCCACCTCTACCCCCAGTGGTGACTCTGGACTAAACAGAAAAAAGCGTTTATTCCTCAACACACTCTATCACCATCTGCTGGATGGTGTTGTCACCAGGCACATCCATAGTTCTATGAATGTTAACGATACTCCCTGGAGTTGTACAGTGTACATCCTCCACCACAGCACACAGAGTCCCTGAGTATTTCAGTATATTAAATGTTAATCCAAAAGTTGGACTGGGGTATGCCATGAAAGAAGAGCCAACAGAAGCCTAGCCACTGGACTAAACTGACTAGCTCTAGCAAGCTGATAAAGCACCGAAGCAGATGCTTATTCAGCATATGAACAATCCTGTGTTTCTCTCTGGTCACAGCATTAAGACCATAGAGGGAAGCCTCCATTTCTCAAGGGCAGGCATAGCTCTTTTTCTTTCCATCTGGACTAAACAGCTTTTCCAAAGCCCTTTGGGCCTGTTCACACATAGCTGAAACACATTTCTTACTGATCAACAGCTCGAAGGGAAAGTCCCCTGAAATATGTTCTTCTTTTTTTTCTCTGATAGGCCCTTCAGCATCATCATGCTGTTCATGAAATATCCTACATTGCCAAGGACATTACAGATCACCGGGCCTTTGGATATGTTTGTGGGAAGGAAGGGAATCATAGATTTGTGGCCATAAAAACAGCCCAGGCGGTGAGTATCCCTATCCAAGAAAGGAGCCTTTCCTTGGAACTCTGGGGGGCAGTCCAGTGACTCCGTCGGTCTTTTAGAGGCCACTCTGAGATATGACCAAGCAATGTATTTCCACTGAAGTTGACGCTCACATTCCCATCTAGAAAAGATAAACAGGCTTGGAGCAAGGAAACATGCTCATACCCATCCAGTTTTGTTTTTTTTTTTTCCTAATGGGTATTTCCTAATGACTAATTATTTTCCTTTCTGATTAAACTGGATGGAGACACCATATACAAATAAGTTTCCTTGTGCTCATAACCTCATTTAAGAAAAAAATAGGAGAAAACAAATAGTTGTTTTGCATAAGGTCTGCCCTAATTTTGCTGTATTCTAAATCACTAATAAATAAAAGCAATGCCTTTTATGCTTATGATTATTATGAATTTGCAAATATAATTAGTTGAAGAAATGAACTTTAGCCTAGATGCAATTTGCTAAGCCAATATAAACAAGGTAGAATTAATTAAGAATGGAATGCTTTCAGATTAACAGAAAAAGGAAAGGCTGCAAGTTGTCACTGCAAAAACAAAAATTGGTTGCTGCCTTTCAGTACCATTCCCTTATGATGTGCCTTACCACCTTTCACTCCAGGCTGAACCTGTTATTCTGGACTTGAGAGATCTCTTTCAACTCATTTACGAATTGAAGCAAAGAGAAGAATTAGAAAAAAAGGCACAAAAGGATAAGCAGTGTGAACAAGCTGTGTACCAGGTATACCTGAGAATTTATCCTTGTGCTGGAGAAGATGGGGGCTTCAAATAAACACATGTGAAAACCGACAGTCGCGCCTTCTCTTCCTGCTGCCAAGTAGGAATAAACAAAGATGAAAGATTCCTGTGTAAATTACAGGACCCAAAGCAAACCATTAGAAATTATCCCTTGTTCTCTTAAACTCTAGGCATATTGGATGAAGTGAAATCTTGAATCCAGAGAAAGATTTCAGGGGTAGAGGACAAAGAAACACAATTGCTTTTGCTGTTGTTAACAGTTGGGGTGGAGGTGGGGTTAGCTCTGAGGGTTTTGACTTTGCTGTATTTTTTTTCTACCTTGATGAGCCACCAGCCTCTTCTGCCCAGAGCTGGTTTCTTTACTGTCCTGTAATTTCTGAATGCAATCTCACATCTGTTTCTTTATGTCATCTGCTTTTCACCCTCCCTCTCCTTGATCTGCAATAGACAATCTTGGAAGAGGATGTTGAAGATCCTGTGTACCAGGTAATTTCTGAAACTAGTTGGGGTTTTAGATTCTAGAATGACTAGACCTGTGAAGAATCCACTGACTGCAAAACCTGGAGAGAGACCAAGATTATTTCTGAGGGTGAGGGCTGCCAGCCCCTCCAGGAGCAAATTTCCATAAAAACTAACAGAAGTTTGGCCGGCATCGGTATCTTGGGATTTGAAGATCCGCTTCTCCCTTCTTGCCCCTGCCTCAGCCCGCTTCACAGCCTGTAAAAGTTTGATCCCAGAGCTGAATGTTTTCAAGAGTCTCTTGAATATTCGGAGTTCATTAGAGAGAATGTGAATAATGAGGTGGCTTCTCTGAGTTAAGAACCAGAGGTGGGGACTGACATTTTGGTAATGTTTGGGCACAGACCTAAAGGATGGTTTCTAAGCGTTAGAAAGGCTATGAGGAGGGCTCTCTGACCCGCGATGGGGCAAGCTGACCCTCTGATTAACTGGCTCATGCCATAGAAGCTGTTGGGAGGAAGGAAAGAGTGCCCTAGAGACACTTCTGCCCATAGCTTTCTCTCTGGACTCTTTTCAAGATCTGTAGCTCGGTGCTGAGAAGAGAGATGATCTCTCTTAGGGTCAAGTATGCGCCCTGTTCAAACAGAAATGCAGAAAAAAAAAGTAAAAGACAGCCTCTCCCTCCCCTGTGCTTATTTTCAAGGAGAAAAAGAAGCCAAAAAAAGTGACTTTTTGAACACAAAGGAAAATCTTGAACTTACATTTCTAACTGGGATGCATAGATGTCATGTGTGTGTGTATGTCACATATGCATATTATACAAATTATATTTTCACACAAAAAGTCGGTACTGCTACAATGGAAGTAAAATAATATAGATAACTTGTAGAAGAAAACGTGTCTAGTATATATGGCAAACAGAAGCCAAAGAAGTACATAATGACATGCTCTTGCTTTAGAATGCCGAGGGGTGACGATTTGTGTAGAATATGAGCTTCAGCTCCTGGCTCACTGGCTTGCACAGAAGGAAGAATAATAGCCTTTTTGAAATGTGTCAGTCCTGTAGAGTATAAAACATGCATGTGGAAAAATCGATTTAATGTACTTAAAAGTGAGAATGTAAAATAAGGTGATATTTGTGGAATAAGGGATTTTGGGGCTTCTGAGCTTTGCAGAGTTTGTTTAGGATTTTGAGCCTTAGGGGAAAAGGGACACCCCTCAACTATAACCCATACTTTACAAAGTTTGGGATCCTAGGCATTCCAATGAGATAGCATTCTCACTCAGCAATACCAACATATTCAGATATTACTGAGACAAAACGCCATTGAATGAAGAGATTGTATCTTCAGAAAGATCTGCAGAGGCTTGATGCAATCACTGCTGAAATATCAGCAGGCCTTTGCAGTTTTCCTTATGAAAGGCAGGAATGTACAAGGTACATTTTATTTCAATAATTCACTGTGTCTTGAAGGTGTTTTCTCTTGTGCCTGCTTCTTTAATGCTCACTGTGATTAGTATCTTGATTTCCAAATGCTTTTTTTTTTTCCTTTCTTCTTTTTGACCTCTGACCTTTCCTTTCTTGCTGCTCCTGTAATAGTACATTGTGTTTGAGGCTGGACATGAGCCAATCCGTGATCCCGAAACGGAAGAAAACATTTATCAGGTATAAAATTGCTTGCCTCTCTTACCATTACACCACTACTAGTGAATGCATGAATGCACTGATAATCTGAAGAACCAAGGGTTCTGTTGGTCATTCCTGGCTTGTTAAAATACCTTTGAGTGAATTGGCTTCTAGTTAAAATACCTTTGAGTGAATTGGCTTCTAGTTTACGGGTAGTTTTCATGCCTTGTTGTTGAGGTGTTTAATGGCCAGTTAGGTACAGTGTTTTACTTTCAAATGGATCTTAACTATTTTAAGTAGAAGCAAAAATTAAATGTTTCATTTTACTGAAGTACTACATTGGGGAGCTGGTGTCCATCATACAATTAGGGTCCTTTATTTCTCAAAAGAATGTGCTCATCAAATTTCTTAAAAAGCCAACTCCTCTACTGAAAATAAAGCACAATTTTAGTTTCAAATGTGATGTGAAAACAACATTGAGAATATTAATAAAAGTACAACTAAAGGTTGTACCCTTATTTTTAATCGTGCGAAGAAAACTGAACTTTTTTTAACATATTTAATTCTCACGAAGATGTTATAAAGTAGATATTTTAATTCCGATTTTGTAGGAGGAGACTCAGAGTAGCCAAGTAGCTTCCTCGGGGTTGTACAACTATTTAAAGCCAAGATTCAAACCCAGGCATGGGTGTGAAGGTGACGCTCTAGCTCCTCCTGCCACAATCTTCCACCAAAATGTCTACATAATTGTAGCATAGCAGCACATCAAATAGATATGAAGACCTGCAACTTTTCACTCATTAGAATTGTAGTCCCAATTTGAAATAGAAACATTATAGGAGAAGAAAGGATTTTAATGTATTTAATAAGTGATTTTAATTTTGTTAATTGAGTGGTCTATTCTGCCTTGGCTGTGTATTACTTGCATAATAAAAGTAAAACATATTTCCAATTTCTGTCAAATGCATAGAATTCTAAATGACTAAAATATAATGCTCTACCAACAACTTGGTTTCAATCAGCCTTGTCGAATAATAATCTAAGTATTTCTCTCTACTGAATCCATCTGGATTCCATTCAAATATGAGGTTGTGCTTTAAGGTTTTGTTGAAAGTCATGGCTTTCCAAGTATCTTTAATAAGAAAAGTTGCATTTGTCCTGAGTGTCAGATTTTAAAGTATATACAACCTTACAGTAACTGAATATGAGGAGGAAGAAACCATTAACCAGTCATCCTAGGAAGAGAGGGCTCCTTTCAAATAAAAGAGGCTTTGCAATATTAGAGGTTTCTGAATCCAGACTTAGCTATAGTTGGCAGGATCCCCATTGAGCCCTGTGTGACTGCAATGGAGGTGGGGTGGAGAGGGAGACATCCTAGTGTACTGGAAAGACCTGCTTTAGCTGGTGGAGAGCTGGGTTGTAGTCCAGGCTCTCTTGCCAACTACCTTTGGCTAAGTGGTAGTGGGCAAGGCACTTACCTTCTCAGAGTCAGTTTCCCTCAGGATAAAATAGGCGAACAATTTTTTCCTAACTCACAAACTCGTGTGTAGGATGGAAAGAAGACATGTCATCATGGGTCACAGAATGTGGAGTCTGGCTGTGTGGATTCAGCATCTTAGTACAAGTACCAATTCAGCCATTAATTTGTCCAGTATTTGTCCTTCTCTGGGCTTTGGTTTACTCATCTGTAAATAAGCATGTAAAACCCAGGACTCTCTCAGGCAAAACCCCTTTCTGTTTTTGCAATTAGTGCCTTACCATAAGACTTTGATTCTTCTCGAGAAGCATGTTGGCTTGTTTTACAGGACAATAAGACTCAGAAATGGTGGAGGTGGGAAAATTTGTGTGTGCACATGCGCTGATGGGGACCAGCTCTGTGAATGGGGTTTACCTGCAATATCTTATCTCTCACAACAACCCCATGTGGCTTGATTCTTTATTCCCACCTTACAGATAAGGAAAGTGAGGCTCACAGAGATTAGGTATCTTGCCCAGGGTCCCAGAGCTAGCAAGAGGTAGAACCCCCCATTGCAGGTCCCTCCAACCTCCATAAATAAAGAAATAAATCCTGAGGCTGCTCTCAGCTCAGAATCCCCTGATTCTGAGTTTCACAATTAGATTCTATGTCCCTTTCAAGTCACTATCTAAAAATCACACTTGTTTTAACAGCTCTGACCTCCAGATCTTCCCATCTGTCCATCATTAGCAGGAAGCTACCATTTAAGGGAATGAATATTTTATCTCCTTCTATTGGAAAGGCCTCTGGTCATTCTCTTCTCCTGCTTTGCCATTCTGCTGGGGTTCAATTTACTTAATAAGAGATAAGCTCTTGGGCCTGAAGATAAGGCTGGGCTTTTAAGGGGCTGCTATTAGGAACCTCATTCTTTTTTTTTTTTTTTTTTAAGGGCTTGTAAGTGTTCCATAGCTATTTCTCTTGAATTGCAGTGTTTGTTATACTTCAGCTTGGCCCATCTGGTGGTCTCAGCTTTTATGCATCTCCTTGTTTTCTGGAGTGAGGCAGACAGTCCTGGAGACCTTTAACTGTTTTGTGACCTTGAGTGGAGAACATGATTTTTGTATCTCAATTTCCTGGGCTATAAAATAGGGATAATTTATTCTCTGCTCCTAAAAGTGATGTGAAAACATAAAACGAGGAGGAGAGCAGTTGGTTCATAGTAGGTTCTGTGTAAACGTGAGTTCCTCCGCCTTCCTTGAGTGTTGTCAGTTTCAGATGCTGTTGAAGTGTCTTATGATCATGTTTTAAGTGAAATAGAACATAACTTGCTCACCACATGTTGTTGGAGAGCCTAGCAGAAATCCTCACGCTTGCTTCACTCTCCTATTTATAACTCCAACAAAAGGGAGGCAGAGGCTTTTGAGTAAATGTAACTTCTTTTTTTCGAGTAGTTGCATTTTCCCAACTATATTAATAATAATAATTGTCTTTTGCTTCGCATGCCTCAGAAAAAGTTATCAGCTGTATTAAAGTTTTCAGCCTCCCAATACGAAACATTTTTACACATCACTTAATTTTGATCCTGCCATTAATGATGACATAGGAAAAACAGCTACAATGGCTATCACTATGAACATAAGAAAATCAAGTTCCCCCAATTTAGATGCTGAATACAAGGTCAGAACCTCTGATTCTAAATCTAGTGTTCTTCAGTACCTTAACAGGCTTCCGATATAAGCAAGATTTCAGTTTTCCACGTTGGCATTTTCCAAGTTCATTCATTCAAACACTGTTCACCATCCAGTAGTTCAACTATCATTATTTTAAAATGATGAGTCTCCAGGAAATGTCACCCAACAGAGCCTGTAACTGCCTCTCTACACTGTTTTTTTTTTTTTTTTGAAACGGAGTTTTCCCTCTTGTTACCCAGGCTGGAGTGCAATGGCGCGATCTCGGCTCACCACAACCTCCGCCTCCTGGGTTCAGGCAATTCTCCTGCCTCAGCCTCCTGAGTAGCTGGGATTACAGGCACACGCCACTATGCCCAGCTAATTTTTTGTATTTTTAGTAGAGACGGGGTTTCACCATGTTGACCAGGATGGTCTCCATCTCTTGACCTCGTGATCCACCTGCCTCGGCCTCCCAAAGTGTTGGGATTACAGGCGTGAGCCACCACACCCGGCCCTCTCTACACTATTAATTAACATGTTGCCAAATAAAAGTTAAAGTGTATTCTGTGTGTATAGTATTTAATGTGCTGTTCTAAGAGAAATTTAACATCTATTTACTTGTTCATACAAAAAACCATTATTTATAGAAAAAAATGAATGACTGGACACATGGAGACTCACATGCATCAGGCACAGGGATGGGATGGTGACCATGGCATGGCCCCACCCTCAGAAGTTTTTGGACAGTCCCCTTAGATGCTCACCATGGGCAGATTGGACAACTGAAGTTCAGAGAGAAAAGTGACTCTCTGAGTTGTAGTCTGTGGCAGACCCAGGATTTGGAATCATCTTCTGGTTCCTTTTGATCCTTTATGTCTCCGTAACTTTATGTTACTGAAGGCGTCTGTGTAAACAGAATGGAACAGCTAGGCAGAGGTGAGAGCCAGGACCATGTACCTTAGCACTCATGGGCTGAAATTTTGGCGATTAGGCATTTCTTTGTTTCACCAATATTTACAGCTGTGGATACAAGGATAATAAAATGTCCGACCTGTCCTCAGCAAGCTTATAGATGCTGGAACAGTTACATTGTAGTGCAGTAACTCTCATGATGAGATAAAGCACACTTTATACTCTATTTCAGTAGACTGACTACTTTTCCACCTCACCCAATTACACAAAAAGCTCTGTTAAATTAGGGGCCGTATCTGTCATGTCACCATCATTGTCCTGGGCAAAGCATGATGCACAACACATAATACATACTTAGCAACTTTTGCTTTTTAATAAAAGAATGCACTAGAGGTTACAAGAGTACAGGGGAAGTCTCCAAACAAGGCCTAGAGAATCAGGCAAGCCCTCCAAGAAGGTATCCCAGCTAAGATAAATCTTAAAGGACAAACAGGCAGATTGATATCTCACCCACGGGAGAGCCAAGTAGAGAAGCTTTTTCAATTATGCACAGTTTGGGTTTATGCTTTCCACCACCACTTCTCCGTTTTCAGGGATAATTGAGAGGCAGCTGCGGTTCCACTGTGCTAAGTGCCCATAGTGAGCAGTGAATTACGGGCAACAGAATGTTCTTCATTTTGCTCAGTAAAGGGTGAGCTTGTAAAAACAAAAGTGAGGGCTGGTAATTTATTGGCCCTCATTAACAAGGACTCTGTAGGCATTCTTAGAGGATTTCTTTTAGATGGAGCTCAGTTATCAGGAGCAAAGAAATGACATTCTTCGCTGGCTACTTGCACAGTGAAGCTTGCAAGAACAACTCTGGAAGTGTACCACCAACACAGCCATGCTCACTCAGTCCTGTTTTCTGCAAGAGTGTACATGAGCTTCTGGGAATGCGGGATGTAATGTTAAAGAAAGGCCTACTTGAAACAGCTGTCTGAATAGTGTAGCAGTCCAATGGCAAACTCCCTGGGCTCAAACTCTTGGCTCCCCATTCACAGACTGCAGGGCCTTCTCCAGGCCTCATTTTTCTCCTCTGCAACATGAGGCCAGCTGAGTAGTTACCTGGCAGACTTGTCTTGAGGAGTGCATGAGAATGTAAGACACAAGTGTTTAGAACAGCACCTGGCACGTAGGAAGCACCCAGTCCATGTTAGCTCACATTATTAACAATAGATGTCTTGTTGGGCTGCCAGAAAGAGCCGCGTTTGAACCTTGTCACTTACCAGCTTTGAAGACTTGGGCAAAGTCTCTAACATCTCTGAGCCTCACTTTCTCCTGTTAAGTAGAGATGATAATTACAATTTCTTAGAGTTATTGCAAAGACTTTAAGTTAAATAAGATGAAAAATGTCAAAGGGACCTAAGGAATAAGCTCAGATTCTTACTTCTTATAGAACAATGGTGTAGTGAGCTACTTCAAACCTAAAAGATACTTTTCCTTCACTATTCCCCGCATTCCTCTATCATATGTTTATCATATATCTCAGCAGATATTCACTTAGCGCCTACTGAGTGTTAGGTACTATGCCTGCTCTTAAAGAGCTCCCAGTATGATGGAAAGAAAGGCATGTTGTCAGACCATTATAAAACCACTGCTGGCTGGGTCCTGCAATGAGGGTGTGAGCTAAGCTGTGACCGTTGCTGGGAAAGGAACAGCTAATGAGTGCTTCCAATCTGGAATCTTTCAGTAAAAACTCTTGGTTGACTCATTTGAAAAGTATTCAACATATCCATATTGTTAGTATCATAAGATGTGTTCATATATATTTTTATAATGTGTCAGTAACTACAGTAATTCTTCTAACACATTACAGTATTATGGTATCTAATAGTGTTGTGTATTTAATATCCATTTTCTCACTCGATCCTCGGAATAACCTGAGTAGGAGGCAGAGCTGATAGTAGCGAAGCTTGGAGGAGCTCAGTGGCCTGCTCAGGCTATCACAGTTAGCTCACAGCAGTGAGACCAGATGGATGAGTAAGGGAAGGAAGGAAGATACAGATTAATGTTAAAAGTCCTCAAGATCTTCTGCATACTAGGCCCACGCTTTCCATACCACTCATAGGCCCTTTTCTTCAATGAAAACCTTCCATATTTATCAGATGGCTTGTATATGATCCCAATAGAAGCTGTGCTTTGTGCTAGGATTTTGATATTTGCTATATTTAAAATAGCCTGGATCTCAGACTCAGCATTGAACAGTTTAAGCTCAGCTACACACTGTTTCTAATCACTTCAGGAACAACATAGCACTCCCAGGGCCTCATTTTTGTCTAAGGGAATGAGGATTTTGTTTTCACCATGTGACTTCCGAAGTCTATGCAGGTTTTTAGTCTTTGATACTGCAAGGAACCCAATGGCAGAGATGACCTATAATATAAACCTTTGTTAAATGATACCCACTCCTTCTCCCCATGTGACGTCCCTAAGGGAGTGAGCCTGGCCTGATACTTTCACAGTCAGAGCAGGTTCCCATGGGCTTGTCCCAGGGGTCATTCTCAGGTGCCCTTAGCTAGCTTGCAGGTGAAGTCTGGTTGCTTTGTTCTTTGAAATTGGAGTACCAGAGTGTTTTGACTGTGCCAAATTTATTTTTTTCATAGGTTCCCACCAGCCAAAAGAAGGAAGGTGTTTATGATGTGCCAAAAAGTCAACCTGTAAGTGTAAGTACATCTCCTCTCTACTGCCAAGTTTCTGCAACCTGGATTCACAGTAGGCTTTGTCTGCAGTCTGTGGAAGGAAACCCTTCTCCTGAAATGAGTGTCATGGCCCACATGTTTCTGCTGTAATCTGCATGCTGGAGACTCTTCAGTGGGCTAGAGGAAGGAGACATGAGGCAGAAATGGTAGCGCTCAAGAAAGGGTGCCAGTCTCGATGAAGGTCTGGTCCCGTGAGTGGGAGTGAGTTGAATCATGCAAAGAACTCTATCCAAGGGCCTCAAAGTCACAGGTGTTCTAGGGCAATAGTCTCCAGCCATGGTTTTATGGTCAAGTGGAGGATAGTGTTTTTGTTGTGGAAAGAGAGCTGCCCATCTAATTTGAAAGTGATTGAGAAGTTTCTAAGGGACAGTGGGAGAAGGGCTGGCCAGGGCTTTGGGGTATACAGAAATTCAGCCAATGGGTGAAAATTTTGGAAAAGATCATGTGCAGGGGGCTTGTGGAGAACCCAAGAAGCATACCACATTCAGGACACCAAGGTCCAGTGTATCTGGACCCCATGTGCTGGAGGGACTTCTGGGAATCAAGAACAGAACCAGAAATTCCCAGCTCTGTGGTATTGCTCCAAACCACCGAAGTGCCACAACTCATATTTAAGACCTCTAACTGGCACGCAGAAGGCACCTTCTATACATAATTCAGGTAGTTCTGGGGAGCCAGTGATGGCTCTTGAGCAGGGGGCATATGTGACCTTCCCACAGCCAAGGAACTAGCGTGTTCAGTCACTATTGACCTCATTCATCTCAACAATGTGTGGACAGTAAAGGTGTTTTGAAGTCAGGTAGACCTTCAACAATTTCAGCACTGTACCTGACAGAGCTGTTGTGAGGCTAAAACGGTTCTACCTGGAACACTGTTAATCTGTTCTCGACCCCACACTGTGAGAGACATAAAGACACCCCTGCATGTTTCATGATGAGATTAACAAGGGGTTGTGAAACTCCATCCCATGAGGAGCAGGTGAAGAACACAGAAATGTTTGGCGTGGATAAAAGAATCCATAGATATGAGATGGGACTCCAAAGGTCGCTGTATGGAAAAGGCATTACATTGTTCTGTGTCAGCCAAATCCTGGAACTGAGACCAGTGGGTGGCACTATAATAAAGTCAATTCCAAGGCTGGGCGCAGTGGCCCATGCCTGTAATCCCAGCCCTTTGGGAGGTCGAGGTGGGTGGATCATGAGGTCAGGAGCTCGAGACCAGCCTGACCAACATGGTGAAACCCTGTCTCTACTAAAAGCACAAAAATTAGCTGGGCCTGGTGACTTATGCCTGTAATCCCAGCTACTCAGGAGGCTGATGCAGGAGAATCATTTGAACCCAGGAGGGGGAGGTTGCAGTGAGCCGAGATCATGCCACTGCACTCAGGGCAACAGAGCGAGACTCTGTCTCAAAAAAAAAAAAAAAAGTCAATTCCAGCTCAAAGTGAGGCTGACCTTTCCACAGTCAGAGCTGCTTAGGGGTAGACCAGCTGGTACCTCAGAGAGTGCGCTCACCATCCCTGGAGCGATGCAAGCAGAGCCTTGCAGACCACTTATCAGAAAGATTACCAGGGTAATTCACACATTGCATAGGGAGATGGGCAGGAGAGCTCTGGATGTCCCTTCCGAAGCTGAGATTCTGTATTCTCCAGTTTGGGAGTCTTTCTGGTCCATTCTCATCCTTGCCCACCCTCTTCTGCCTTTTCTTTTAGTGAAACTTCTTTCTGATCAGTGTCCATTTCTCTAACCCGCTCCTCTAGGATCTTGAAACCACCATCCCCCACCTAAATATGGCTTCTGAAACCTATGTGCATTAGTGTTTATGAAAAAGCATATCCAGATGCAGTCCCCTTTGCAAAAACCCAAGTCTACGGACCCTGTTCTGTGTTTTGCTACTCAGAGAAAAAGCAGTTTTTCTCCTGAGGCCTCTGCACCTCATCCGGCCCCTTGTTACTGAGACATTGGCCTGCTCTTCATGTTTCAATTTGGTGCAGTTCCCATGACACCATTCTCCACAATTCAATTTGTGCCTGAATTGCCACACTTGCCCCTAACAGGTTCAGATACATAAAGAAACATGCTCCATTTGCTGCCTTGGTTTTTCTGAATTTATTAACATTTCTGGCCACACCATCTCCATGCTTAATAGCTCCAGGAAAAAAAAAAATCCAGGCTCCTTTGCCTGAGATACACAGGCAGACTGCCTGAAGGTCCCCTCTCCAGCCTATATGTCTAATCTACCTCCTTCTGTTCCAGCCTTACTGAAATCATCTGGTTCCCCCCCCCCCAACCCCGTCCCCACTCTGCAGCCTTCCCCCAGCATTCCAACCTTACTTCAAGCTTTGTGTTCTTAAGGGGACTTTCTGGACTTTTGCTATGAACGGGAACAGCAAATCACCCCTGCCGTTGTGCTATCATTCCTCTGTTAATAGTACTCCTTCCCTATTAGTTCCTTAAATGTTCTGGGGTCCTTGTATTACCAGATGCAGGCCCAGGGCCTGGTATTCGGGAGCCAGGTGTGCACAGGTACTTTAGGAATATTTAGTAAATATATGAATGACTCTATCTGTAAAGAACTTATGAAAATACCTGGTAGGATTAAGAAAGTGCCTGTATTTATGACTCCAAAATAATGATTAAGGAAATGCACTTGAAATTTTGCTTGCAAAATATCTGGGCTGCCTGAGTGGCATGCTGTGGCTCCCAACCTGCTGTTCTCTCAGAGTCCTAGAACTGACTGAAGGTAATAATGACTTTTCAATTAGCTATTTTCAACATTTTCAAAAGCCTCAGAGGTTGGAAGTAAAACATCAGGCTATTGTATAGAGACAGATGTCTGCTGGAATCTGGGCTCCTTATCTTCCTACCTACGAGACTTTTGATAAATTTCCTTGCCTCTGAGACTCAGTGTTCTTATCTGCCAAAGAAGATGATTGAACATAATTAGAGGACAGAGTAGTATATGTATTGGAAAGTTGATCTCACTTGCCTACACCTCCCAGAGGTAATGCCAAATACCACACATCCCTCTGGGATCTGCCCTCTGGGCTTCCCCTAGTAGACCTGCCTCTCTGATGAATGCACACTCCTAGAGTACCTCTGTACTCTGAAAATCCTTGCCTCTCACTGTTTCCTCCTTAGCTAGAAAGACAAATACGAAATACGAGAGATAACTCAATTAGTGTATGTTAAGCAGCTTCCATAAAGTCATGAGACTTCCACAAGTTTCCCATAAGAAGGGAAACTGCCCAGTGGCCTGTTACTCTAGGTTACACCTGGTTTCATTTTTCTCAGGTTTAGGGGACTTTCTGGACTTTTGCTCTGAACAGCAACAGCAAATCACCCCTGCCGTTGTGCTATCATTCCTCTGTTAATAGTACTTCTTCCCTATTACTTCCTTGAATGTCCTAGGGTCCTTGTATTACCAGATGCAAGCCCAGGGCCTGGTATTCGGTAGCCAGGTGTGCACAGAGGTTTACGTATCTTAGGTTTAGGTCTGCACAGAGTCCAGGTGAGAGACTCCACCTGGAGCTGTTTTTGAGGAAATCACCAATCAGGCCAAAAAAAAATGGCCTGGTCTTCAGAACGAGATCTGGGTGTAGTTCTTACCACAGTCATTTACTGAGAGTCCTTGAGTAGCTTTTGCATCTCTGATCCCTATGTTATTATCTACAAAAAGAAAATAATGCTACCTTTGCTTTATTTGGAGGATTAAAGGAGACGTTTATGCAAAACCCTTCATAGAAGATATGAATTAGATAACATGAAAACATATCCGCACGTTGCTATTTCAGTCAGTGCTCTAGCAAACAATTCTCACTGAATCAGGGATTGGCAACTGCTCTAGGGGATTACACACCCTCTCTGGAAAACCTTCCTTACCCAAAACAGAGTATTCAGTCTCTCTGGGCTACCTCTAATACGTCTCTTTGCAATGATCCTAAAGGATTGTCATTTTTTTCTTAACATATTCATGTGGGCCATTGGACTTTGAGTTCCTCAAAAGCCTTGGCAGAGAGCACATTTTGTGGAGCTTCGTAATCTCAGCACCTAGCACAGTGCCTGGACTATAGTTCCCATTGACGACTGTGGTAGTAACCTAAGCTAGAGAGATAGCGGGGTTTGAATCCTGACTCCATTACCAGCTATGTGACCTTGAGTGAGTCCTCTGCTCTATTCTGTCTTTGGCCTTCTCAGCTCATGTGTAAACCAAATTCACTGAGTTCCGAGCGTTTAACTGGATTAATAACAGTGGTCACCCAGCGTGCATTAGCAATTAATAGACACTTACTAAATGTTTGTTGCACTGGACTAGTCACCAGGAGTGGTCACTTTTACTCCCGAGCTCCTGCATTGCGAGTCCATTGAGGACAGGAATCATATCATATTCATGTCCTGATTACAGTGAGCATCGGCACAGAGTAGCTGCTCAAGTGCTAAATGAATGAATAAAAATAAATGGACAAATGAATAATTGTGTGAGCAATGAATGAACAAATGAATGCCTATAATCTGTTGTCTATTAAGTTCTTTTTCCTTCTGGGGACAAAGACACCGTTCAAACTAAGACAGTGTTTGTTCTCAAAGAAGCCCTCTTGCCTGGACCTTCTTCCACTATGTGTTTAACCATTCTTGCCCTTTTCCACCTGCAGCCTCCATAAATACGTTATTTTTTCTTCATAGCTTGGATCACCAAGCAAAAGGTGGCCTTCTAAACACAAACCCACACATTGGCACACCTGCGTTCACTCCCCTCCTACACCAGGAACTAAGCATCAGGCAAACAAAACATCTTGCTGCCTTGTCAGGGTTATTTTTGATTTTTAGTTTTTTCATCTTTCCTAGGGTTGGATTTTTCCTTCTGGGGCCCTGTGGGAAATGTTTAAAGTCATTAAAACTCTTTAATTTTTCTGAAGAGGGGCCTGTAACTGATAAAATATTAGGGACACAATCTGATAGAATTAA